ATATATATATATATAACACAAAACATTGATATGTATCTATAAAGAAAATTTAATTTTATCTATCAAACTATATTAAAAATATTAAGTAAAACTATAAATTACCTTATAAAGTAATAGAAATTTATGTGTATTAACATACCATAAAATAGTTATTTTATTTGAAAAAAATATGTAAGCTAACAATGAATATTAATATTAAAAATTATTTTATTACATTATTATTAGAATAATAAAAATATTATTATATTTCATAATGTCCGTTCTCATACACATTATATTTAAAATTATTTGAATATTATAAAGTTGAAGGTATTTTAAAAAAATTAGATGAGGTAAAAAACCGATAAATAGAAAATATAATTACAATATATAATCAAACTTGAAACAAATTAAATTATTGAGTTGTAAAAATAACACACACATATTTGTGTGTGTGGTTAAATAAAGCTATCATTTTGAGAAATTGAGTATAAAACATAAATTATTTTAAATAATTATCTTTATTATTTTTAATTATTAGTTGTATTTTTATTTTTTTATCATTTTATTATAATAATATAAATTTCTTCACTTCTTTCTTTTGATGATTTTTTTTTATTTTCAAGCACCTATGTTGTTCAGGATGTTTTATTAACTGATAAATAAATTAATTATTATATTTAATTTTGACAATATGAATATATATTAAATAAAATAACAATATTTCGCAAAAATGTTTTCTAGAAATCATATTAATGTTTAAAAAATCACTTTTTTATTAAATATCTAGAATTTTTTTATTTCTTAAATAAGAACTTCATCTCTTTTTCATTTTTTGTTCGACAATTTGTTTTTTACGAGACACCCGTGTAGTACACGGGCGTTTTAATAATATTTTAGACAAATACCAACTTTTGGGTAGGAGTAGGATATAAAGCAATTCCAAATTCCCAGTATGCCGTCCGCGTGAGCTGATAAAAAACTACAAGTACTAAAAATAAAAAAACCGATCTTGTAATGTGTATTTGTAATTTTTTGAGATCCTGTCCTATGATCCTTGTCTAATTTCTAAATCACGCTAATTTCTAAATCAAACAAAAATAGTTTGAAGGCAAAAATCTATGGACACCGCTCTCAGTGGCCTCCGGCGGCAGGGATGGTCCCGCACTTCTTACACCAGAATCGCGCGGCAGCAGGGGCAGGACGATTGAGACCTCAGCCACGTGTTGATGCACGTCACGTGGAACGCGTGCTTGCACTGCGGAAGCACCCGGATTTCCTCGCCGGCGACAAACTCACCCAAGCAGATGGCGCAGTCGGCAACCTCTTCCTCCCCGAGGGTCATCTTCGGGAGGGCCTTTAGTACCTTCAGGCCCTTGTGGGGGGCTGCCGTAATTGGCGACAGGCGGCGGATCCAACAGCAGCACTGGCGTATGACGATGACAAGTATGCCGATGAGCGGGAAGAGAACGAATGCCAGAAATAGCACGTATGAGTTATTGGTTTCCACAGCAGCCGGCGCTTCTTTCATCGGCGGCAGCGACGACGGCGGGAATACAAAGCCGGTGAGGTGGCGTGAACGGGTAGTCATGTATGCAGCCTTTGAGTGTTATAGAGAGAGCCAAAGAGATAGAGAGACAGGTAGAAGATTGTGGGTGGTGTATGAGAATTTGAAGTAGGTTTGAGGGACGAAGAGGATTAGGATTAGGAATAGGAAACTGATGTGCTTTAAGCAAGGGAGGAGAGGAGAGAGAATATTTGTTTCTATTTTGTGTTCAACGTCAACCAACGTTTGAAAAGGCACAAACTCTAAATATTCTTATTTGGAGGGGTCTTTATGCAAATTCGCTAGAGGTGCCAGCTGTTCCACCAAATTTCTCATCTATCCCCATTACCATTTAATTTAACTATTAAGCCAATTGAATATTTTTTATAAACTCGTAAAGTGCACGCACGATTCGCAATACATAATTTATCTTTATATGCCTAGTATTAAATTATTTTTTTTATATATTTTTATGGTCTATTCAATTTTACATTATTATTGTTTATTAATCAAACAAAAAAAAATACATTACATAATGAACCGTGTCAAATATATTAAAAGTTGAAATACTATTTTTATAATATAATATCTAAAAGTCCTGGAGAAAAAAATTACATGAAAATTTTGGGTAACAAACTTTTACCACCTAATCTTGTTTATTCAATATATTTCCGTTTGAGGAAGATTGGGACACACACACACACACATACACACACACACATATATATACATATATATATATATATATATAGAGAGAGAGAGAGATAAGTGATCATATGAAAATGGTATATAGTGAAGAAATAAGAATAATTATGGATCATTGGATAAGTTATATCAATAGACATCACGAAGTCAAAATTAAATTAAGAGGTCAAACCTGTAGTGCCAAAACTGTAAATATATTATTATGTCATGACAAAAAAATAGCTCGAAGGGCAGTGTTGTAATTTTACCAAACAACATAATAAGTCGGCCCCACCATTAAGTACAAACATGTTTCTCTCTCCTCTCTCCTCTTTCCTCTCTCTTCTCCTCGTTTCTCTCTCCTCTCTCTTCTCCCTCCTCTCTCACTTTCTATATGTCCTCCCTCTCACCCCGTCGGCTGTTTGCGGCCCGACTAAGACGCGACCCACACCGTCGGTCATGTCGTCGTCATCGACCGGAGGCGCCTCCCAACAAGACCGCTGTTCATATCGTCGCCGTAGACAGATTCGATGCCGCCACCTTAAGCAGATTCCGGAAACTCGTCCGACTCACGGCGAGTGTTCCAACGTCAACGGCCCCAACAATCGCTGTCGTCAACAAACCTCCACCATGCCTCCGCCTTCTACCGTCAGTCCGCTGTCGCGCCTCTGCCGTCTGGCCACAGCATTATCAACTCGCGTCGCCTCCACCATTCGTCTCCGCCGTCCGCCACCTTCTTGCAGTCGAGCAACCAGCCCGTCGCCGCCGACAACATCCATCGCGTCGCGACTTGCCACCACTGCAACCGACCCACGCCAGCTCCGCCATCATGCGCACCAGCGGAGTTGCAGCTTTCCGGTGGCTAGAGCCACCACTGCCTGTCGCGCCAGCCTCGTCGGACTCGCTCTCCGGCACTAAGTCCGTCACCGCCACAGCTCCGTCTGGACTTCGCCGACAGAAATATACAAGAGAAAGGGCACTTTGCATTTTGCAATTTGTGGCTCTTTTTTGAGAATTTGAAATATTTAAAGGACTCAATTGTAACTTTATAAATATTAATTTATTACAATTCAATACATGAGTTAAATCAATAATTTATAAAAATTTAAATACTTGTACATTAATGTTATGTAGTTGCACGTTAACAATCATTAGATTGCACATTCATGGTATGTAAATTGCACATTAACATTTTTTATCTAATATTTTATTTATTTTAATTGAAAAAATAATAGTTTTATAAACAAAATATAAAAATAGTATTTGTTTATATGGTTTGTCGGTTCGGTTATCTTGGTTATTTGAAAAATAAAAAATAAAAAATAACATCGAACCGAAATAACTAAACTCATATTTTATAGGTAAACTCATAGAATCGTTCTGACATAAAATTCGAATACAAAAAACCAAGCCAGTTGGGTTCGGTCGATATAGTGGAATCTGACAGTCACTAATGTGTAATACGTCTAACGTTAAAGTGCAGTATTAAAGACATTAACGTGCAATCAATAATGTGTATTCGAAGTGCAATTATTTTTTATAAAAAAAAATATTCATATTAGTATTATTTTTAGTTATTAGTTTATAATGTTTTTTGATGAAAATAAATAATATATACATAGATAAAATATAAAAAATAATATTTTTGTATATAGTTCGGTCGGTTATTTAAAACTCGATGTTCTATAAGGTGCAACGTGTTGTTTTATAAAGTGCAAGATTCTGCTATAAAAAGTGCGATAATATAAAATTCGATCGTTATTTAACACATGGTGTTTTATAATGTGCAACGTGTTGTGTTATAAAATGCAAGATTCTGTTATATAAAGTGCGACAATTTAAACCTTTCCATATAAATTATGTGTATTCGAAAATTAGTTTTAATATATATAATTATACGTCAAATTAAGCTAAATAAATATAATACTTTTTTATATATTATTTTTATCATATAATTTATTTGTTGTTATAAATTATTTTTATATATTTTTTATATTTTATAATACTTTATTTAATATTTTATTTATTATATAATATATCCATATCAATATGTATAATTGACATTTTTATTAACTTTCAATAATTAAAAACCCATGGTTAAATTGAAATATAATCAAAAGTATTAAAATTAAAAATAGGTCCCTACACATTATCTAATTTCCAAAAATGAGACCCAAAATCTACAGGTCCGTTTTCATCCATTTTTCCGGCAACCGGACTTCAACCAATGACACGAGGGACGCTCTGATGACGTCGGTGTGGCCCCTGCCGGCCGAAAATCGCAGCCGTGACGTGAGCCCGCTCGCTACGGCCTCGCTGGCGAGCTTCCACCTCCGCGACCGAGAAGCCGGACATGAAGAGTTGTCCGTCGACGCCGAGATTGATGTCTTTTTCGTCGATGCCAGACCAGCTGAGACATCTGTAGACACTTGCGGAACTCGGCCGACCGCTAGGAGCAGGTGCGTGATGTAGTTCGCGTCGGACTCGCCGTGAGCTCTGACCTCCAGCGAAATACGTCCTCCAAGAAGTTGACGTGGCTGGTGGCTGGTTACGATGGCAGGATGTTGTCTGGTTGCGGGTCGTTCATGGCGGAGAGCGTGTGTGTAGCGGCGGCTAGCGGTGAGCATCGAGGGCGGCGAATGGCGAGGGTGGCGACGGCGAGCTAGGTGGTTTCTGGCGGGGTTGGGGGGCGATGCAACCGTGTGTTATGTTGTGTGTGTATGTGTGTGTGTGTGTGAACTGTATGTGTTGGGTGTGTATGTGCAATGTTTGTGTGAATTAGTGTGTGCAGAGTGTGTATGTATGTAGGTGTGTGTGTTGATATATGTGTGTATGTGTTGTGCGTGTGTGTTCATGTGTTTGTGTGTGTGTGTGGCGTGTGTTTGTGATTATGTGTGTGTATGTGGAGGATGACGTGGCATAAGTGATGTTGCATTAGTGTGTGTGAGGAGAGAGATATGTGATGTGTATTGACATGGGTCCCAATGCTTGTGTGTATAAATTATCACACTACCCTTAATGAAGATATAATTTTGGCATTATTTTAGCAATTAGATCATCTGATCTAATGGCCAAGATATATTCTTATTTCTCTCATTAAGCACCATTCTCACTTGAACCTAACCCTATATACATATGCACAATAAAACTAAATTAAAATCTTCTACAAGAATAATTGCATGTAATAGTTTACAACCTTGTCTTTTTATCTTGTTAAATAAGACAACACTTTGTCATTATTTTTATTGACAAAAAAAAAAATACAATTCAATTGATATATGTTCGCAAAATATTTTCACTACCCGTAAGTGTACGATGTAGCTGTAGTAAGCGGCGAGCAAGGTCGTATTCCACAGAGACTGTTGTTAAACTAATTAAGTACCAAAATATAAACGGTTAAATATTATTTAGACTAACTAGAATTTGAATGGTGATTTTGTTCTAAACTAAAGAATGAATGCAAAATAAATTCTTAACACTAAAGAAGGCTTATTCTAAATAAATCAAGTATGAGAAAATAGATTCTAGGCTATGCTTTCCTCGGGATCATTCTAGCGAAGTTTTCTTATTCATTCAAACCTTATTTAATTCTACCAATCGTAGGGATAATCGCTAAAGTAATTTACACCTTTCTCTCGAACAAGTTAAATCGTAGATAT